TAACTGAAAGAGGGTATGTTCCAGTGACGAATCCAAGTTCAATATGTTTGGATCAGATGGTGTTCATTACGTTAGACGTCCTAGTGGACAAAGATTGAACCCAAGTACACTTTGCGCACTGTCAAACATGGAGGCGTGTCTGTTATGGTTTGGGGGTGCTTTTCTGGGTTTGGGTTGGGACCTTTACATAGAATAGATGGCATTATGGATAAGTTTGTATACACAGACTACTAAAGCATGTCATGTTACCCTATATGGAAGACAATATGCCCTTAACATCAATCTTCCAGCAAGATAATGACCCCAAGCACACTTCAAATCTCGCAAAGAAATTCTTTCTGGATGAAAAAATACCAGTTCTCAGATGGCCTTCACAGTCTCCCGATATAAACCCCATTGAAAATATATGGGAATGCTTAGATACGCAAATACGAGAGAAAAATTATTTAAACAAGGATGAACTTTTTGTCGCTTTCGAGCAAAAGCGGAGACAGATTGATGAATCTTATATCAAGAAACTTCTACAATCTATGCCGAGACGATGCCAGGCGGTGATTGATAATAATGGTTATGCTACAAAATATTAACACAAACATGGTTGGTTTCTATAATTCAATGAACTTTGCTTCTTTTTTCTATAATTGTTTTGCTTTGTCTATACAGGGTGACTTCGAAGTTGAGTCATTTATTTTAACAGTGAGTAGATCTGATCAAAGAAATGTTTTTTTCCTTTAACATTTTTCTGGTAAATTAAAGTAACAAAGTTATAGCCCTTTAGAAGTTTGAGTACCGCCCTGTCTCAATAATAATATTATGTGTTTGGCAACAACGGATATCGGTTCATCGCATCGGAAACAAAAAAGCGAATGAATTTGAAACGTTTATCACGTTCTTTTTCGTCAGTCGGTAACGCGTGGATGAATAGTGATGTTGTTACGTGACTCAAACGAAATGAAAAATGGCACATGGGGGGGGGGGGGGGTGCGGGCAGTCTTTACAAAATGTTGCCGGATGCATCACGGATTTATGCGAATCGGTTTCCCAATCGAGTGCAACCAACCCCTCGTGCCTTTGTTAATGTAGTACAAAGGGCTCGTGAATCAGGTGACTTAAGACCTCACAGGTGAGAGCATGCAGGTGCTCCAAGACCGCACGATCAAATACAGGTCCGCACTGAAATACTTGTCGGGATGATACTTTATTAAACAAGGTAACATTTTTTTTTTATTTTTTTTTTATTTTTACATTTTACAATCATTATCTGGAAATTAATGACTCAACTTCAAAGTCACCCTGTATATTTTTGTCCTTAGTCCATAGTTTTTTCAATTAATTTTTTATTGAAGGGAGTCTAATGAATTTATTTATGTATAAGAGAGTATTATGCTATAACGAATTATGTATACAGGTTGGTGTATTAATAAAACAAGTTAAAAAAGAAATACAACACAATATTAATTTGTCTATATACTTTTGTCCACTACTGTATGTTGTATATATTTTTTCCAGATTCTCCTTGCACAGAACTACTGACTGCAGCATCTTCAGCTTTATGCAATTTGCTTCTAGAATTCTCTCCTGCCAAAGAGCCTATGTTACAGCAAGGTGTTGTACAGTTACTGGCTAACTTAGCATCAAGGTATTTATTTTTATCCGTCCCCAAAACAGAAAAAATGTGCGTTATAATGGAATTTTGTAAATATTATCTGGTATATTAATAATTTTTAGTTATTTTACTTATAGATTGTTTTTATTGATGTGTCAGGTTCTCTGGTACGACTGCAAAGTTTTGCATGCTGAAATGCCAAATTTGGGCTCATTGTTATTCAATTCAAACTAATGGTGTCAATATAAATATGTACTCAAAGATCTGAAAGTAAATGTGACTTAAATGTGAAATAAAAATAACAGTAGGAACTATTAAAACATCAAACAACAAAATAAAAGTTTAAAATGTTTGCTGGAGAAATAATCAATACTATAGAAAGCACCAGATATTAAGACGTTTTCCACATTTTCTTTAAATTTGTTAACAGGCATGTCTTATCTCTTGCCAGATTATTAAAACATTGTATGACCTGGTACTCTGGAGACTTGTTTTACCTTGTTAACCGGAAGTACTCTGGCATTAGATTACTCTTGAACCTGTCTTTTTTTCTCGTGAAAATCACTGCGCATTCTGAACATAGCAAAGTTATTCTTTATATAGAGAAAGCAGCTCATGATGTATTGGGAGGGCAAAGTTAAAATTCCTAGGTCTCTAAAAACCTGCCCACTATCAGCCTTAAAATCCAATCCCTTAATTATTCTGATGGCCTTCCCATGAGGCCGAAGACACGATGTGACTGCACCACGCATCCTCAGATTAGTAAAGCTTATGACATTATGGAATAAAATAATGCATAATAAGGTATTTTTAACACAGATGTACCCACGCATTCCACTAGGCGTCATAACACATACAGTCCAGACTCAAGTTTTTATGTGTCCTGGTTCATGTGGACATTCCATTTAAGATGCCGGTCAACACGCACCCCCGGGAATTTTGCAGTTGATGTATTCATATTTACATCGCCTAGCTTTCGTAGTGAGAACAGCATCTGTTGGATTTGCTTTGATTTAGCAGAAGTCTACTAGCATCGAACCATGCCTTATTATCCATACTGTACAGCTTCCATTCCCAATATTGCTTCAACCAGAGAGCCTGCTGTGGGGGAGAGTTGTGTCGTGTACGAAAAGGGTCAAAACAGCATCTGTACTTGCCAAAGTCAAGTCATTAATGTACATCAGAAATAATATAGGACCCAATACTGAGCCCTGTGGAACTTTGATGGACAGTTCCCTGTCCTAAGACACCACTTCTTCCACCCTGACTGCCTGGATTCTATTTGCTAAATGTGATGTAAGGAAACAAATGATAATATCGCTAAAATTATAGTATTTAAGTTTGTGGATTAGGAGCTTGTGGTCACACAATCAAAAGCTTTACTGAGATCGCAAAAAGTATGACAGCATGTTTATAATCATTATCAAACTTTTATATCACAATTTATTCTTGTCTCTAGATCGGAGCCTGATCTTCGGCTGAATGGGGTATGGGCATTAATGAACCTGGCATTTAGGGCAGAGCAAAGGGTCAAATCACAGATAATAACTGCACTAGGTACAGATCAAGTATTCAGGTTGCTGGCAGATAGTGACACTAAGGTATATTTCAGTCTCTATTCAGATAACAGTCAGTATAATCGTTATGAAAAAGAAGGCAGTTTGCACATAAAAAAAATTGATATTTGTAAAAGTTTTTCATCACTATAGTGGTTTTTGAAATCTTTCACCTTTCTACATCACTATGTATTCTCCTTTGTGTATCATTCCTTGCAGAGTAAATCCGAGGGCTGCCAGATATTATTTTTTTTTTGAAAGACAAAACGTCGTGCATTGAATAGCGTTGATATGTATGTCTGGCCAGTCGCGGAGCTAGACCATGTATAGATGTCGGCGGCATCACCTTTGAGGGACCCCTTTCATCTCCCAGTCAAAAGGAAATCGTTAAATTGAATGAGCTGAAATATATGCTTATATTGTAATGAAAACATCAGTCATACTGTCTAAAGTCGAATTTATTACATAGAGTCGAGGTTTTTTGAAAAAAAATATTTATTTATTCATCTACATTAATGTTGTCTCCAAACTAGTCCCCATTAGATATTATTCACTTGTATCAACTCTTCTTCAAATCCTCGAAACACTTCTCAAACTCGATCTTTGGGGTAGAGTTTACATCTTTCAGGGAAGCGCTTTTAATGTCATCTATGCTTGTCAAACGACGGCCCTTTAAGGTTCTCTTTATTTTTGGAAATAGTCAATACGGAGCTATGTCTGGCGTTACAGTATTGTTTTGGCCAAACATTTAAGAACAAGCAATGAAGTGTGAGCAGTTGCATTATCTTGGTGCAAAAGCTATGAATTGTTTTTCATAACCAAAACATTCGAAAAAATTTCATGGCATGAGCCAGTCGATATGCCAACATCATTGGCAACTTCTCTTATTGTAATTCGTCCAACGCGCACAATCATTTCTTTCACTTTTTCCACGTTTTCATGGGTAGTTGGGGCGTTCGTTGTATTGAACGTATTCACGGCGATCTTAGAAATTCTCCCACCATTCGTAAACTCTTGTTTTACTCATAGCAAACTCACCGTAGGCCTTTGTTAACATTTCACACACTTTGTTGTACCATATTTTCCACGCAAAATTTGATACAGATTCTTTGATCCATTTCTTTTAACAAACGAAATTCGCCAAGCTCATAGAAATACGTCTAACCTTAGCGGCTGCCACAGACAAAGTAAGCAATGATTACAGATAAAAATGCTATCACACCTCGCATAAATGCTGTTCAATGCCTCATGTATTGTTTTTCAGAAAATTAAATAATGTCCCTAATCAGCCCTGAGATCTTGGACTGTTGCTTTGTTTGATAAAGATGTATTTGTGCAGGTCCTCATGAAGACTCTAGGTCTGTTACGCAACTTAGTATCTCCTAGAGCCCACACAGATACAATGATGGCTTTACATGGCCCACAAGTGATGCAAGGAGTGGTATTAGTATTAGAAGGAGCTCATCCACCCGATGTTAAGGAGCAGGCACTCTGTATACTGGGAAATATAGCGGATGGAGAAAGAGCAAGAGAGCATATCATGTCCAATGAAGATGTTCTGAAGAAGCTCGTAGGATACATGACACATCCCTCAGTTTGCTTACAGGTAAAACATCATTAGAACAGAACTTAATGTAACTTCTAAGAATCCTGTAATAGTCTCAGTGATCATATACCATGTTTTATTCGCCTCTAAATAAACCTACAAATGTTGAAAGATTTCCTGTGGTTTCGGCCACCACGGTGGTTTTTTTTTCGGAGTACAAATTGGTGACAAGTCGTTTGTTTTTGCCTCTACTAGTACTGCATCTGCACTGTTCATGGAGTCGAAATTCGAGAAATAATACGCTGTCACCTCTGATGCAGCAATTGTGGTCAAAGGTTGCATACAGCCTATTTCATGCGTAACCATTACATTTTGTGGCGACTGAAGTGAACAGCTAATCAGCAAGTCACATCTTTGTATTAGTCTGTAACGTTGGCAATAATGAATCAGGTGTAAATCTGGTACAACTCAGAAGAGTATTCAGAGCTGTTGTTCACATATCTAGATATTTTTAGTGACTGGGAATATTTACAATAAAATATACGACGCACACAGAAAAATGTTTATTAGAAAATTATTATAGTACATCCTGGATTTATTGATTATGAGGTAAGTCAATAGAACAGATTGTGTTGTCCTTTCTAGTAGCTGTAATTTAACCTGTAAATTAGACACTTGGTTCAGGTTAATTGTCAATTATCAGTGTAATGTAATGATTCAAATACAGGTAAATATGCGCTACACTTCTTATTTCCCTCCCAAAAGCGCTATCATGCGTTTCCCCTGGCTTGTTGCGGTGTTCTTAACAGTTGGTTCATGCCTGTATTTACGAACGCTATTTTCCCAGTCGAGTACATTTCATGTCTTCCTGCAATAGTTGTACAGTTCACTTACATTTTTCTTATTTGTAACATGTTCATGTCGATAATCTCCTATGTTTGTATGGCCAATGAAACCACATATATCTGGAATTCGTCTTTGAAATAATATCAGTGTCTCACTGTTGCTGTACAAAGTTCTGCTTGATACATTCTTTCATCTTCGAGAACATGAATAAAATTACAGAATGCCTCCCTGTTAAGGGCAAGTAATTAAATCCATTATTTACTCGATGTATATTTGTGGCGGGTGCGACAATGTCCCAAATTAAGGACCTTAAGCGGCCAAGGAAAGAACCAAAAAAAAAGAAGGTGCTTACCTTGATCCTGTGGTGTGGACGTCGGCATGGGCTCCTGGTCTCTTCTGGAACTGCTTAACACCCACAGTAATTAGAGTTTATAAAAATAGCGGTTTCACAAAACAGCGTTAGCAAAAGTGCGTGATTCTAACAGCGGTTCTAGCGATTCTACGGCTGGCCTTGTTCTGCTTGCGGTTAGAGTGCACTCTTCCTCTTTTTTCGAAAAAACTATAGTGCCAAGAAAAAACAGCGGTGGAGCAAATAGAAATTAAGGTACAATTGGCATTGCGGTCGCAACGATGTTAAAGAATAAGCTCTTTATAATTTTATTTATGTCCTCAAATAATTTCTCAAGCAGAATTTTCAATAAAATGCTCGGCAATGGTGTCATGTCAATCTATTGTATCATGTTTGATCCATGGTTCGTTTAGGACACTATTAAAAATATAGGTTTTTGTATCTAAACCAGGTGAATATGTAGCATTTTTGTTTTAATATGGGAATTTGGTGCCCGTCTTGCACAAGTCGAATAATTTTTTCCTAGTTTTGATAATTGATAAAAAATACAGTTGATGTTCTTCAGACACAGATATCAGTGTCATTAAAAAAATCAGTTCACAAAAAAATCATTGAAAATTATATTCATATAAAATATATACTCCTATGATGAAATAATGATGTATTTGGAATATCTTCTGCTGTTGATCAAGCATTCAAATATCAGATCTTCAGTTTTCCGTCATATCTGAGATTATGTTTTTTGACAAAGTAATTAAAATAATTGTTTCTTTTCATTTTACTTTAATTGGTAATTGAAAACAAACCACAGTTAGCATCTGTCGGAAATGAACCTGTCAAACTTAAGACTTCGAAAATAAGAGTGCGTCATCTATGGGTGAAAGGACGCCATAATTGTTTGGCCACTAAATGTGTTACAATAAGATACTATAGAACCTTAGTTACCATGAGTGAATTTTGCTAGTTTAACATCACACCGTTGCGGAGAATGTTGGAATTCTTCTTCCATCTAAGAGTATGAATCCCAGGAACAACTACGGATGTAGGTGGGTTGATATTTCTTTCGCAGGTTAGTGTCGTGTAGTAAGAATCCCTTGTTTAACGATAAATGTAGTATACTTTTATTATTTCTAAGCAAATTACGCTGATCCTATTTGGCAACATCGCTGTCAGAGGCCAAATTGTATGTATAAGTCAGTTTGCCGAACAAGGTTGGTTATATTCAGATGGAACATGTTAATCAATGGCTTAGGCCAGACTTCGCCGTTTATAACTGTATTTTTGTATATGTTGTGAAATATAAATAAAATCTCATGGATGATATTTTTTTGTAGGAATCAGCAGTTTTCTGTATAAACAACCTTACTAGGAGAGGGGAGCCTGGTTCAATTGACCGACAAGCAAAATTAAAAGAGATGGGAGTGGTCCAGATTTTACAGCAACTGTTGAGTACGGCGGATCCTGTATTGTTTAACAGGTATCAAAAGATTGAAATACCCCAACAAACTCAGATCTTAGTACAACATATCTTATTCCGAGAACACAATTTAGAGAAATATTATATTAAAGAATGTATATATAGATAGGAATTATCGGGATATAAGTAAAAAGAACTGTACCATGTGCGGAGCTTAACTTCCCTAATAGTCCGGCCATTATCTCCGCATCCGATGGGAAACTATTCTGATTTTGTGCATAATTTTATTCAGAAAGGACCCCATTTAACGAATCTGCATGTTATTAGAACCAAGCTTGAGTCAAAAAATGTAATTTATTCAAACAAATTCCAAAAATTGTTTTTTTTTTCACTCAGGTCAAAGTGCGTTTAGGTGTTTTGGGAGATTCTGTACAAAAAGATGCTTTAGAACTTTTCTATAAAGTTGTTAGTTTTCAAGTTATAAACAATATAATATTTGAAAAGGTGCGAAATATGTCATATTCGACTCCAAAAAACAATATGAAAAACAAAAAATTTGAATGTTACCAAAATCCTAAAGCATTTCAGGACGTATTGTTATTATAAACCTTTGTTTTTTTATTGCTAATCGAGCAGGCGCCCAATCGCTCTCCACCGTTGCGTCTCTCTCGCACTCACTTGAAAAACAAAGGTTTACAATAACAATTCGTCCTGAAATGCTTTGGGGAATTTTAATAGATGTTTGAAGAATATTTAGGATTACTGGCAACATTGAAATTTTCATTTTTCAAATTTTTTCAGTGTCGAAAATGACATATTTCGCACTTTTTTAATTATTGTATCGCCTATATCTCAAAATAAAAAAAACTATAGAGAAAATGTCAAAAGCACTTTGACCGGAGTGAAACAAGTTTCGAAATTTGTAAAAAAAAAATGTTTAAACATTCTGACGCAGACTTGGTCCTGGCAACATACAGGTTCATTAAAAGGAGCCCTTTTTGAATAAGATTATGCAAAAAATCCGAATCAGAATATCTTTCCCATCTGATGTGAAGATATTTGCCGGACTATAAGGGGAATTGTACACTACACAAGCCGCTCCTTAACGCAGCTGCTACTTGCACTTGTACACATGGAAAGGATAAAAAACGTTTTTTGTATCATTCACCAAATAAGTTTTGCACAAGCTGTCGACAGTATATCCATTGATTATGTTTTAAGTATTGCTATGTTTTTGATGTCCAAGATCACCAGAGGTTAATTCAAATTCTACGCTCATTTCAATTTGGTTATCAATGTTTGGGTCTGCGATATTGAACTAAAAAAAACGACGTGAACGTCTGTACATAGGGGTAGATTACATGCCTATGTGTTAGGAAGGTGGAGCTGTGAAAGTGATGCTGATAGTTTTACAGTGATCCGCCAAAAGCACTGAAAAGACCTATACAGGATGTCCCACATAAAACTGCAAAGATCGATTACGAAAACTTAACGTTAGATAATTATGAAAACATGGGATTATGGTATAACTGATATGACGAATTCCTCTAAAATATTTTCAAAATGGTGGCACTTCAGGTTGAACCGAAACTTATATATTCTTCAGTTTTTGAAATCTTCGCAAGACGATATGTTTATTTCGTGTGACTCGAAAGTTTTGTCGTTCTACAACTATGCTTGACACTGTCAGTGTGACAATTCTCTTGTCATCCGCGTGCGATTTGAATTTACTTGCTTCGTTATAAATATAAATATAGCAATACCTGAAAATTCAATAAGTAAACAATGTCAACAGTTCGTGGAGTATTTGGAGTATTACTAAAAAATCATTGATGTGTGCAAGAGTTAAGGTTGGCAGATTTAAATCAACCTGGTTTAAATCATGGTCTAAACCAACTATCTATTTTTCAGGAAAAAAAACATGTTTTTTGTAACAAACAAACTTGAAATGAAATTTTTCTTTGACAAGAACACATTACAATAAATGCAACCCTTTTTCACCAGATTTAGTGACCTTATTTTGATATACTGTACTGCCAGGAATCGAAAAAAAAAATGATATTCATGAAGGGAAAATGAGTATTGATAAAATTAAAATTTATGATTATAACTACACACCGCACGAGCATCTTCAGCAGGTGCAGATAGAATTTTCTTCTTTGGACTTAATACAAAGTATGCTGTGTAATAGACTGGGTACTGAAAAGGCCTCGAATTCAGTTTTTTAAATATGTTTTATATGTAAATAAAATGTGTTGCCTTCAGACATATTCTTTTCTGGCCACTTCACAGAACTCACTTTCTACCTATTAAATAATGCTATCCACCTGCTACCTAATATTGTTTAGCAGGTGGAAAGCTGGTTCTTTGACAGTGACCAAAAGAAAATATGTCTAAAAGGAACTATACAATTATGTGTTTTTTCAATTTCTATTAGTTTCAGTGGCTATTTAAACGCAAATTGCTTAAACCCAATAAATCTGGTTTAAACATAAAACCTGTTTTTTTCATAGAAACTGGGTTTTGATCAACCCTGTCAAGAACGAGTATCAGCTGTGTTAAAGATATGTTTGTGAAATGTACATTTCCCTTAGGAAAAATACAGTTACAACCATGGCACAGTCAATCTGTATTTTTTTATTTTTGCCATATATATTTTATTGCTAATGGAATGCAACTCTTGTGTACGTCCCTAAAATATCTACGAAATATGAACTTCGCTAATGTAATATTGTAATTCTTTCAAGTTAGTGACCATTTTTCATTCGATGCATATTCGCGTATTTATTGACCTTAACTTACCTTATTGTAACTGTTTTGTCAAATATTACATGTCCTTTGAACGTTTTTTCCAAAAATTTCTACTCATTGCCCCCTGCCTGCTGATAGAAGTTAGTTTATTTATTCTAATATAACAGTATACAAAATTATTTTAAAAATATTCTAAATCAATTTAAAATAATTTTGTTCCAGTACCCAATTAGAAGCTGTAGAACAGATTTCAAGAAGTAATGCTGTTAAAATGCAATAAAAACATTCGAAATATTTTTATTTGAAGTTTATCACGCTTCTTCATGTTTTCACGATATTAGAATTATATATTGTGCGAATGAAAATCGGAAATGCAATAACTAAATTGCTCCATTTTTACCGTTCTTTTTTAAATAACGTGAAGATTTTTTGATCGTTTTAATTGTTCCAATATTTATATTGCATTTTAGCACCGAAAAATGAGCTGCATTCTATTAGTAACAATAAATATAAAATAATTTTAATATTTTATTTTAGCTGGAAAAATGTATGATTTTTTTGACACGTTTTCATTAAAGTCTCCTTATAATTTCCCTTGGATCTTATCTATAATTTTCGACAGATTACCTGGATAATTTTAGCAGGTTTATTCGACTGATATATAAGTTTTCTGTAGTACCTTTTAGTTCCTAGATTAGAATTCAAAGAATTATTTCTTTCTCAAGGTGTTTTCTCATTATACAGCATCATACTTAAATCGTCTCCGGCTCGTCGGTATCCATTGCATGTAATCATGTAGTCAATGCCCACTAATACCGTACATCAATGAGAGTATTTTGCTGGTGCGAATACTATGTGCTGGTTGGGCAACATCAGTACTAAACTGTGGCAGGTCACAAAGATCATTAATTGAAATTATTTTTGATTCCGTGATTATCGTGGATGAAAAAATGGCGACAAGTGGGCTGACTCTGCACTTCGTAAGCAACGTCGTCATCAGTTCATAAAGGATTATCAGCACAAGTTAAACCCTCCGAGAGAAAAACTAGCTATGAATACAGGGTGTCCCAGAAATAACACGCCAGAGTGACACGGGAGATATATTGGCTTCAGATCAATCAGGTAAAATCAACATGACCTTAGTAAAAGTTTTCTAGTTTGAGATATTGCCACATTTAAGTTTTTTCAAAAAATCCCTACTTTTTGCTCATTTTTTGCCTGTTATGGCCATAAAGAACTTCTAACTTATGATTTTTTTCCCTAGGCTACAATTGAGACAACCAACATTGAAAACTATGGCATGCTAAAAAAATATTATGTTTGGTTTCAATGCGAAAATCTTCACCAAAGTTTGATTAATTACTGTGAAAAAAAATTTACCAGACTGAATCAGCAAATGACCTCAAAAACTTACTATTTAATGCTCTCTCAAAATTCGAGTAGTATAACATTTGTAGGCTCTTTTCACTAAAAACTGAATAATTCCAACTTTTGTCATTGAAGTAATACTTACGAAAAACTACAAAGGAGAAATAATAAGTGCAGCAGTCTTTTGTGTCCAAATTTTAACTTTGTAGTTGGTGTGATAGCTTTTTATTTTAGCAAATGTCTAAAACAGTTATCATTATCCTTTTTTCCATTCATCAAATGATGAACAGATTAGGTTGTATTTTTTTTAATTTCCGTTGACTTTTACAACATTCAAATCAAATAAAGAATTAGCAATCATTATTAACATCTCAAATTATCTAAATGAAAATTAAATTAACATCTTGTAATGTAAATATTACCTGACATAAATCATTATTATTATTATTATTATTATTATTTTCATAACAGATTCTCAAAGTCCACCGACTCTTATTACACAACCTGCATCTTAAAAATTGTCATTTTAAATGTCTCAAACTTAAATCGGATATTTCTCGTGCTGCTTGATTTGATAACGCAGCTCAGCGGCTGATCGAACTGGTTTTCTAAACACCTTGTCTTCTAAATATCCCCAGTAAAAAAATCCAAAGGGTTCAGGTCTGGGGAGCGCGGGGGCCACCAAATTGGTCCTAGCCAACCAATCCATCTTCTAGAGAATGTTTCATCAAGATACCCCCTTACTGCACTAGCATAGTGTGCAGTTCACCTATCATTCTGTAACCACATCCTTCTTATTGTCTCAAGGGGCACATCTTCCAAAATAATGGGTAGATGATGTTGCATAAAATCTAAGTAAATTTTTAAGATCATTTGCTGATTCAGTCTGGTACATTTTATTCACAGTAATTAGTCAAACTTTAGTAAATGTTTTCACATTGAAACAAAATGTAATAATTTTTTTTAGCATACCATGCTAGTTTTCAATGAAATGAATACTCGGTTGTCTCAACCAACTATTAATGGTAGCCCAGGAAAAAAATAAGTTAGAAGTTCTTTATAGCCGTAACAGGCAACAAAGAAACAAAAAGTAGGGTTAAAGCTTAAAATTGGCAATATGTATCTCGAAAACTTGAAAACATTTGCTAAGGTCATGTTGATTTTATCAGATTGATCTGCAGCCAATCTACTTCCCGTGTCACTCTGGCGTGTTACTTCTGGAACACCCTGTATGTACAATATAAAAATTAAACCGATCAAGTCAGTCCAACAGTCCAAGCAGATAACGATCTGCTGCGTAACGACGCCGGACGCTGAACCCAGATAGCAGAAGGAGACGCATATCGAAAACATTTCTGTATCGTTCTAAGCTTTAACGACCAATGTATGGGGAAAACTATGTGTGAAATAATGGGTGCGTAGAATTATCGCGGTTGGAAGCGTATAAATATACTAACGTAAAAAAATGGAATACACTCACCCATACCATCGCCACCCAATTTTTTACTCCTAAAATGTTTTTCAAAAACCATCAGGAAACGTCAAAAAACGAAGTTTGAGCTTTTTTTTTCTCCGCCACCACTGAACCGATTTTCAAAAACTACAAAGCTTTTCGTCCTTGGTATAGTAATGACCTTGTGGACAAGTTTCATCCAAATCGGAGTAGTACTTTCCAAGTTATAGACAGACCAAAGATTGGCGGGCAGGCAGACCGACGGAAATGAGTGACATGGTTTTCCGTGATGCACATGTCACATTACACATATCATATTCGAATTTTTTCGCGATGACAATACTTGCTCGCCTAGTGGCGAAGACAGTAAAATTGATTGAATATTAACGTCATCAATACAATTGAAAAGAAATGTTTACCATACATAATGAGCTGGATATAATCAGCATGATGCAGTATAATGAGCTAAGACTTTTAATGCTCTAGTTTTATTTTGTTGTAATTCTTGTTTTTACGTGAAATAATAAATATCCTTATCACATGGTTATTTCTACTCACTTTATTTTTATCCCAAAGGGAGATGAATAGTGATTCAATTTCCAGAGTGAAGGCAGCCCTCACGCAGTTTGCTGACGTCTGAAGTGCTCTCGAAGATTTCTAATGTACCTTAATCCAACTACCATCCTACGTTTCTTTATAACCGATACAGTTTGCTGGATTTTTAACATTGTAACTTTGTATGGTAACCAGTGTTGCCGAACCGAGAAAGACGTAGTCGGTAGTTAGTGTCATTGGAATTCGGTAGATTCAAGGGCAAAATTGGTAGGATGAAAAAATCAGGCCCAATGCCGGATCAAGGGGCTTTGTATCATTTAACACCGTGTATGAAAAAATGAGCATATTTTGTATTGCGCGCGAACATATAACCACACAACACGGATTTTTTAAGAGGATTTTTTCCTGAAAAAATATCAACTCGTTTATTAAGACTTGTACAATAAAACTCATTTGCAATCATCTTTGTTTGTTTGTTTGTTTCAGATTTATTTAGCATTAATGCTACAATGTCCGTAATATCCATACTACACGGTATATAAATATATTATGACTTCATGACTACATATTTTTATATAAAATTTCACTATGAATTCTGGTTTCCCATGAGATATTTTATCAATTTCCCTTTGAAGATTTTCAAACTGGCACACATCTTGATATCATTACTCAATTTATTAAATTCGTACAATCCCTTTTGAAATACTGACTTGCTCGTTATATTGCTACTGCAGTTTTGTAAATGAAAGTCTATACTTCCTCTAGTAGAATAATTGTGGCACTCATTGTTCAATACAATAAAATTTTCTAAGTGATTTAGTAGATGATTTTTAACTTGAATATTATAATGAAAACCAAGTAGACTATGACATTTTTGATAATTAACCATTGTAGTTCTTTCAGCATAGAATTTATTCTAGTATATTTATTTAAGATGATTCTCGTAGCTTTATTTTGTAATATTTGTAATTTTGAAAATACAGTTTCATTTGCAGTGTACAAAATAGTCGAACAATATAACAAATGAGGAAGAATGATAGTGTTGCACACAATTTTTTTAGAATAAACGGTTAGTCTATGCGAAATTCTATAAAAGTAACTTATTTTCTTGGATATTTTTGAAATAATATATTCATAGTGCCCTTCAAATTTTAATTTACTGTCTACGTATATGCGCAAATATTTAAATGATTCGATTGACACAATTTTTTCATGATTGATTGTAAGATTTATCGTATTTTGATCAAAAGATTTTTCTATTAGCATATATTTTGTTTTCTTTGTGTTTAGTTTAAGTTTATTTACATTTAACCAATTTATTACGTTTGTCATATCATTATTTAACAGCTCTATTGAAGTTTCAATGTCTTTATTTTATATAGGTATATTAATGTATCATCAGCAGTTGCATTTTGCAGTGTTGTAAAATATCAGGAATATCGTTAATATATAAAATAAATAGTAATGGACCTTTTGCTACCCTGCGGCACACCTACCGAAATGTTTTCAATGTTTGATAATGTATTGCCGATTTTAGTTCTTTGACTTCTATTGATTACATAATGTTGTAATAAGTTTAATACTGAACCTTGAAATCCATAGCAATGCAATTTCATTAACAATTTCTCCCTGTCAAATGCTCTCTTGAAATCTAAGAATAATGTTACTGTAAACTTTTTTTCATCCATATTTCGCCTCCATTCTTCTACTACCATTTGAATTGCTGTTTCAGTAGAATACTTTTTTCTGAATCTTGCTTGAAATTTTGTCAATATTTTATTTTCTTCAATATATTCAATGTCTTGTTCATATATGATTCCTTCTAAGAGCTTCTCGACATTTGGCAGTACATTAATTGGCCGCATGTTTGTATATAACTCAGAATTCTGCACTTTTGGAACAGGAGTAATTATAAAACATTTTAACTTTGAAGGAAATTCGCCATACACTAAACAGTGATTCACTAACAATAATAACTTATCTCCAATAATGTTGAAACATTCATTCATAACCATTTTTGAAAGATGTTCATTAGGATTTCTATTCGATTTAAATCTTGTAATAGCTTTTGAAAGATGGCTTATATTTATTGTTTGGAATTGTCTTGGACACACCTTTTTCTATTCTTGTTTATAAGATGTGAATATTTTTCGGTTTTATTCCTGAAGTTGAAACCTTATCATCTAGCATTTTAATTTAATATTTGATTATTGAAAACAGATGAGCTTTGCTTTCCTTATTGCTTCTCCGGTAATGAGGTAATGACGCTTGATGTATCAGTCTGTACCTCTTGTACGCACAAAAACCAATACAGGGAATGCGGATTAAATGATGTGCGTATATAATTATAGACAACCCAAATCTTTGTCCTTCGTGTGCCCGACTGCTTAAGTGTATAAGATAGGTATGGGACATGAAACCACATAGACTACGACTAATAATTCATTTTTTCAGCATTATTTTTGGTTGTATCTCTTTTTCGAAAAAATGAAAATATCCGAATTATTTAAAAAAAAATCGTTTTCAATATTTCTGTAAACAAGGTCTCATTTCGGTAGAAATACCGAAAAATCGGTAGGTTCGGCAACACTGATAGTAACTTAGTATGTATATATGATTTATATAGTATTGTCATTCGGTGAGTTTACATGGATCTCCAAACCGGCTTAACTCAAATCGAGTTAAACGAATCTGTATGATTAATATCAGTTTAACAGCTAACCTCAAAGTAATGTATAGCCTAAGGTACGATTCCACCAAAGTCGTCTTCAAGCTATGGTGAAAGCATACTTTTTAAGTGTTAATCGGGCAAAAAATTGCCTTTCAGAGTAAAAAGGTTATACCCTATGATCAAAAAGTATCGGGAATTTATGAATAAAACAAAAACGGCTTAATTTTCAATCAAATTTAGTTTATCGTCTTCAAAATAACATCCACCTGAAGCAACACACATGTACTAGCGTTTCATCCACTGCTCCATGCACCGCTGGTAGGCCGCCTAAGGTATGGCCTTTAGCTTTCTCGTCGCGTTCTGCTTGATGTCATCTATGGACTGAAATATCTTTCGCCGAAGTAGTAATTTGAGTTTTGAGAAGAGAAAAAAGTCGCACGGGGAGATATCAGGTGAATACGGTGCTTGTTCAATGGCATTTACTTGAGATGTTTGGTCAAATAATCAAGCACAACTCTGGCCCGATGCGACGGCGCGTTATCATCGTGCAAAATCCACGAATTATCTTCCCACAATTCTGGCCATTTACGACATATAGTATCCCTGAAATGCTTCAGAATGGACAAGTAATATTCTATTCACTGTCTGGTCCGGTGGTAGATACTCCTTGTTAATCAAAGAAAATAGTCAATACAGCCTTCACTATTGAGCGGCTTTCGCATCACCAGTAATTAGGCGTCTCATGAAGGTCGGATCATTATTCGCTTCATAAATATTGACGCAAAAATATTGACACGAATGTCAGTTCTGGTGGTACCAACAAAAAAAATCATAAATCACCGGTTCTTCCATGCGCAGTTTACTGAAATTAAAAATTCCGGGTACTTTTTGATCATGAAATAGGTGTTACAATTGCACCTCATATAGGAACGTTCTTTCATGCGGGAAAAAGGAATCATCATGGATGTAATTGTTAATTAATAATTCCAGACGTATTAATCGAAAAGACTCTTGGCACGTGTAAATTCGAACGAAAATCAAATATTCAGGAAAAAAAACTAAAGGAGCTCACTATTTTGACAGGAAACGTCCGTGTATGGGCTGTGGATGTCCATATTTACGCTGTAACCATAGTCAAGACACAAAGCATCAATAATTCATGTTTTTCGTGTGATCTATGTGGCAAAAATGGAATAAAAATCGATAGCTTCAACCTTGTCAGTGTTGCTGATTATTGGTTTATAATAATCTATCGATGCTTACCCAGATTTTATGATCGCGCTTTTTGTTCAAATTTACTTTTGCCCAGATTTACGTGTTTTCATCGTGGGGATATTTCTCATTTGCAGTCTACCAAACATGTTATTCACAAAGTTTGTTGAATATTTTCTAATGTGCAACATGTTGTGGAAAAATAAATGAGTATGCAACATTAATAAAACTTTGTTTTGTCAATCAGCTCATTATAAATATAGCAGTTTCTGAATATCTTCAGGCAGTTTTTGGCATTTCCACTTTTAGAAGCTTTATTGAACTGATAGATAAGTTTACTTTATTAAATAACGTGGTTTTTAGCTATATTCTAATTCAAAGGGTAAAACACCAATTTTATAAACAATAATTAAATGGGAACAGTACTTATGCAATGTACATTCGTAATATTAAAAAGTACGCCTGCCAACAATCACGACCTTTTGCTATCACATTTACGCACAAATTTCAACAGAGGTGTGGACACATTAGATTTTTGTGCTCAGTGTATGCTGATGGATCTGTCCAATATCCTTGAGTGTAATATGTACACATATGAAAAGACTCCTTAGCCTGTTCCGGACATCATAAGGCTTTTAGTTTTTCAAATCTACTCATTTTTGCAAAAAAATAGTCAATTAGGGTCAACATATCAATAGAATAAAACTACTGAACATCATGAAATTCTAGTTTCACAAAAAAGTTCCACAAGGTGATTTACAATTTTCATGACGACCGAATTTCTTCCTTGTACACATACCGCTTACAATCTACTGATTATTTACTAAAGATACCATTGAAGTGTTGTCAAATGCACTATTCATTAAATCACAAGACACCAACGGCCATGTTTAGAGTTAGCCAAGCGCGCTGTAGACAGGCACAGAACGACATAAACGCACGAAACAGCATGGCAATTGGAGCAAATTGATAATTTTTATGCTAGAGAAAATACGAGAGTGAAATCTCAGCCAACCAGACAAATGTAGGAAGTAAAATATGATTGGATCTAGCTGCTATCATCATATTCCAACTATTACCTAAGATGCATATGTGACGGACACAAATATTTACACCAATACCGAACACAGTTGGGGTTTCTAGCAGTTTTCTGGAATTATTAAAAATATATTCAGAATATCAGTACCATCGCAACATGCGGTAACGCTGGAACGAATAAAAACAGCGTTATTTGAGAGTGGCGTAGAATAGCACCTCCTCGTTCCACGACGATTCATGGGGGGCCAGTTAAGCCATAGCTAACGAAGTGCTTGTATAGCGCATAGTACACGGTATAACTGGGCACAGAGCAGCATGAACGCAGGAAACATCAACAACAAGATTTATTGGTGCTTTGTGGCTTACAAATAATGATCATAGCTTGAGAAATTCACTTCACTTCCTGTACCAAGTAAATATACCCTATTTCACGAGTATCCATCACGGTAGAATGACAGCTGATTATCTAGTAATATCTCAAAATTCCCCATTTCGGCACAGGGCACATAACTCTGACGATCAGTCATTTCAATCCGTATTTTGTTTTTTTTTTCGTCGCTATAGATTCATTTTGTACTTGTTAACAGTTCTTTTAGTTAGAAAAGTTGATTTGCATACAAAAAACAAAACGCTAAAAACAAGTTTTACTAGATTTACACCCTATTATTTATTGCCAACGTCGCAGACTAACACAAAAATGTCACTTCCTGTCAGCTGTTCACCTCAGTAGTCGTCAATGCGTAATGGATACTCCTGAAATAGGGTATACGTATACAGCTACATAAAATGCACCAAATCATTTTCTCTTCCTATGACGTATCTTTGTTAAAGATCTACGATGTAAACATGGCCGCTGTTATTCTATGATTATGTGTATATTTGGTTTTGTTAAACCGATTTGCAGTAAACCTGGTTAAGAAAAACGTGTAAACTCACTGTTCAAGAAAAACATATGGTGATGTTTGATCACCCCACAAAGCAACTAGAACCCAGAAAACTGGTTCAGTTTACCCTGTGATGTATAGACTGAGAGATAAGCCGGTATCTGTCTCTATAATATTATCTGATAGTGTTAAATCTCATTTACAGATTTTAAAACATGTGTACAGTACGTTTTGTTTTATGTTTGTTTAGGTTTTTATTTGTAATGATTTAAAACTGTCCTTATACTAAATAAATATGTTTATTTATTTTATATAGTGTTGTTAATTAATTCGGAACCATTTGAAACTAGAAACCGTTTTACAGCCCGTAAGACCATTGCATGCAAGCTCTTGCTGTCGCAAGTTGACATTGTTTTGTCTGCAAAACAATTGCATCCAACCACTTGCAGTTGCAAAACTGTCCATTTATTACTCTATTCAAACGAGCAAGGTAAGCCAACTTAAATGAATGAAATATTGACATCCCTAACCCATAATTGTTTTTTTACTTTTCAGAATACGCGGTTTTAATATCCAAGAACTAGTTTCAATCGCCGACCATCCGACATCTGTAAACAAATATAATTACACACCCTACTGGACCGGCCTAGGAACATTTGTATGCATTGATAACTTGTAGTAGTTACTAACTGTTCCACCAGAATTGCAGGCAAACTTGCATAAAAAATCTAACTTATTGATTCTCATGCAAGACCCCGGCAGTTGCAAAAAAAATTTCAGGGATAATGAGCTGTCTCTGATCAACATTTCTCTTGTGTACTGTAAAACGAGTATATAGAATTTTTAATAACACATGATATCAACAGTCAGTGCCAGTGATAGTACCAGAAGTGATTTAACACCACTTAACTATATCATGCTGGTAGTGTTGCAATGTAATGATGTTCACTAAGACCGAGTGGTGCCTTTCAACATGGCAGAAATTTCAAAGGCTACTAACATTGTCATATACATACAGAATCCGACAGCAAAACTTATTTTTTTTAAATGTGCTCCATTTAGCCTTCGATGTCGTAACGGAGCGCGAGTGATCTGTGATCCTAAACCAGCGCGCCTTTCGAAATCGCATGAATATAGCCTCGTTGGTTTCTGTCCCGGACCGGAAATCAATTGTTACGTGGGCCATTAAGTTCAGACAAGCTGGAAGTGCGACAAGACGAAGGAGGCCTGGAGTCCCTCGGCCCGTTAGATCACCTGAAAACATCGAGGCAAGGAGAGCTTCAATGTTGCGATCACCAGGGTGTTCTGTGCGCAAACAGGCGTCCGCCCTGTGAGAAGAATAATTTTTCATTATGAGCTTCCTTTCTATCCTTACAAGATGGCAATTGTGCAGGAACGTAACGTCAATTTTTGGACGAACGCGTGTAAGCGTCTTCTTGAAGTCGTTCCTGAAGACGCAATTTCCTCAGATGTGATTATTGGTCCCTAGTTCTGCGCGCAAAATGAAGTTGTAGTAACGGTGAATTCGGATCGCTATGTAAACATGTTACATGACTTTTTTCTACGGCTAGGTGAGTTGGTCTTAGGGGTCATTTGGTTTCAACAAGATAGTGCATCGGCACACTCTTCAAGGGCATCGGTGGCTGTTATGAGGAAACACTTCCCAGAGCGGCTCATCTCAATTGGGGGTGATTCGGAATGGCCGTCACGCTTTCCAGATTTGTACCTTGTGTTTTTTGAAATCACGTGGTTTATGTGAACCGTCCAAGGACCCTACGAGATTTAAAGACCAACATCCTAGAACAAATGACCAACATATGCTGGCACGTCATAACAAACGCCAGAAATCGATTTCCTCGGTGTATGGAGGTCGTCATTTATCTGATTTGATCTTCAAAACTATGTAAGCAAAACTTTAGACATAATCCTAAATTATAAAAAATGGCCTCAACTAAGTTGAATCTGTACTTCCCAGGTTACGCTGTCATCAGTTCGTAAAGGATCATGTTTGCACAAGTTAGCCCTTCTGAGAATGTATAACAAAAGATGAAATGACCATCCTCTTCCCCCAGAGAGGAATTGGTGTGCACATGGTCGTTCCGATAACCAATCCCGCATTAATGACGATATTGGCCCACAGTACTGTTGAAGCGATTGGCGACTGTGAGGTACGATCACCGACGACGACGCTTGTCGATCAGGGGATGACGTCGCACGTATATGATTTGTGGTACCGTCAACAACTCTAGGAGATATTTGCAAGTTTAAAGAGCAAATGTACGGGGACATCTATGATGAGTGAAATATGCCTAATATGTGCGTAGAATTACTGGGGTAGGAGGCGTAAAAAAATTGAGATATACACTCCCTCACCTCCAATTTTCAACCCTTACAAAAAAAATTCCGCAAATGATTAGAATCGCCTGAAACGTGGAAAACCGAAATTAAGTGATTTTCATTTTTTTGCTCCGCCTCCACTGGATCAATTTTCAAAGCTTTTGTATCCTTGGAACAGTAGTAACATTATGTAAACATTTCGTCGACATCCGAGCAGTACTTCTCAAGTTATAGATGGTCATAAGATAAGCATATGGACCGACGGAAATGAGTGGTTTTTCGTGTTGTACTTGTCATATAACATCCAAGAAACATATCTCATTTCCGAAAATTTCAGAGATTACAATAGGCGGGGGAAGTAAAACAAATAAAAATCTGATTCATGGCTTCCTTAAACTTTTGAAAAAAGGAAATTATGGTGCCACACCCTGTACTTATCTTCTATATAGCTTATTGAGGAGTTTAGGCATAATAAAATACAGAGTGTAGGTATAGTCAGTCTGTTCCAAAATATATTCAGACATGTTACAAAAAAATCTAAAATAATGTGTTCAACTAGTTTAGTAGTAGTAGTTCAAATAAAACTATCCAGATCAGTTGTACATACTAATTCAGCCCAAGTTTTGTCTTCCAAGCCAGCAGCAAGTATGAAATGATATTAGACACAATACAAAGGTGTTATACTAAATGTATAAAATATGTCCATGTGATCTCAATCCTATGTAGATATGTTTTTGTTGTAATAAATTTATCAGAAAATAGATTCTTTTTAAATTTTAATATCAATTAAGAACTGAATAGCTCACACTCTCTAGAACTAAACAAAACAAATATGTTTGTTTCACAGAAAATAAGATTACATTGACCAAATATTTCTCAAAAGCTTGATTAATACTTTATAACATAGAATATAAGAGAAGGTAAAGTAGTATATACATGTCCTATAAAATAAATCCATTTTATCCTCAAACCAAAACATAGTTTAGACTCTATAAAACACATTGGGAGCATCCAGCTAAGATAAAGTTGCTGCTGAACAGCAGTAGCATGGGATAGCTTTATCAATTTGACAGCAGTCTCCACTTGGCTGTCAAATTTAATAGTATGTTGGTCAATGTTGCAAACTGTCAAACTTATTCCATGGCTACTGCTATTCAGCATAAAGTGCTGCACCACTGGATTGCTTCACATTGGCTGAATGCTCCCATTGTCGATTGAAATTACTAGACTGGAAGAACAAATATATATTCACCAACATTTTAACTCACAGAAAAAACAATATAGTCAAATATACATCATCTCAGCCATAGAGCTCATTTTTTTAGGTATATGCACAAAAGTCTCAAAGTAACTAGCTAATTCATCAATCGTCACATCACAGGGAGGATTTATATTTAAGCGTGCCTGATGAGAACAACTTCCCATATTTGTATTAGTATTTTCATGTCTAACTACTCTCGCATCATCTTGCTGTTGGGCAGTCAAAAAGCTGGGTGACCTAAACTTATTCAGGTCCATATAACTATTTTCTATGCTTAACTGCTCACAAGCATTTATAATAGACCTAAAATTTTGCTCCAGGTGGCTGGCACACTGTCCAAACTGCTTATCCCTTTCTTTGTGAATTTTTTTCAGCTGTGCCTTAGTACCACACATTTTTTGTGTACATTTCAGGAATTTCAGTACTGGCTCTCGAAGTATTTTCTTAGTAGGTCGTTTGAAGGATATTGTATGCTTGATATTTTGGTTTTTCTTGGGATGATCACATACAGTTGAAAGATTTATTGAAGATAGAGATTTTGAACGTCGTCTACCCAAGAACGGGTTACGACATTGTGGCTCCTTGCTTGCAACTTTCGTTGCGCATTCCACATCCAGTTCCAGCTTTTCCAGGCAATTTAATAAATTTGCGTCTTCTCGGGTTATTGCGGCCTAAAAATAAAACGTGGGTAAATGTCTGCTACTGACGTTATTTGTCAAAACAGAAACGTGATTGTGCACTATTTCTAGAATGTTCACATACCATCGCAAAAAGTTGTAATCATTATATTATTGCGATAAAAAAGTGCAGAGGCAGTAGCAAGTTGCCTCTTAACGGTTTCTTTATACTTTCTTCACTTTTCACAATTGTTTACAAACACAAATGCATGATGTTTTTACAGACACCACAAATAAAATGACTGACGACTTATATGAAAAAATTAAAGACGAAAGCCAGCGTTGCCAGACGTCCTTTCTAATTTCCATAAGGGTATGTACACCTTTATTCATAAGTTTTTCGTACAACAAAGATAACGAATAGTTAAGCCTCCCGTTACGTTAATTTAGACAGCGACAGCCAATAACAAATGTCCACGAAAAAAGTATTTATGACTTCTAAAGTGAACCGTGGCAATATGAGTATAATGACTACTGACAGTCATGTCAGATTGCTTATTATTTTCGCTTAAACGATGTGAAGCTAACCCCAAATTTCCGAAACCATGTTGATTTTTTTCACATGAAAGTTAAAAATACATGTTTAAAATCATAGAACCACAGAGGGACAAGCGACCACAAAACTAGAATGAAAGGCTACCATTACACATTACGGATATAACAAAATGCACTTATTTTTATCTGTAATGTAAACATGATATGTCTACAATATGTCAACCAATATTTTTACATAAGATGAAATGATTTAATCAAGTTTATCCGGCCGTACAAATCCGGCAACAGCATTGCTTAAAGAAAATCTAATCTTACGAAATAAGCCTTCCCTGGGTAGGAAGTCAATTCTGTGCTAATGGATACTGGAGCTTTCTTATTTCGATAACGGATGATTGTTTCGCTGATACGCAAAATCGATCGAAATAAGGAGGATCATAACTCATAACGAAGGCAGCAAAATAAATAAATACATACCCTGCAATCTCTTCCTGTTTGCCCGCTAAACTATTCGTTTCGCTATTTGTGCGATGGCAGCGCCGCCTAGTGACCATAATTATTCGGGGCTCGGAACCTGTCAATTCCTAGCAATTAGATGTTGTGTGTGTTGTGCATATGGGACAAAGTAATTTGCACACTTGCACAAAACACTAATGTGACAGTATGTGCGGGATTTGAATCAATAAAACCAGGCAAAGCTCCAACCTCAAACAGCATGAAAGCAGGGGGGTTGTTTAAGATTCAGCTCCCAGGGTTACATCGCCATCTATAAGACACTGAGCCTTTTCAAAGAATATGTTGTAGCAAAGGTATAGAAACAGCTGTAGCAAATTCTTATAGATAACGATACGATAACTCACCACGGATAATTTTTTGGACGCGGGAATATATAGCATTAGGTTGGCTATTTTCAGGTAGAATTCGTTATTCAATGGTATAACACCACCAAGAGAGGGAGAGACAGAGAGATCAATACTTTCCTAAATGTTTGCTGTATATCTCAAGCCGTAATAAAGCCCATATAACCTTTTTCATGTACTCATCCAGTATATGGAGTCTGCTCGTTGTAATAAAATGATCTATACAAATTTTTCAAAATGCAATTGCCTTTTCTAAACGGTTGGTTAGTTCTCCAAAATTTGCCGGTAAAATATCAATTTCTACGACCTGGAGAAATGATATTGAACTAGGCAACGCTGATATATTAAAAGCAGCTACTTGTCAATTTGTATTTGTTGCCCAGCATGATTGGCACATGACCAAAAGCGACCTCTATCTTAAATATGGCGGTATTTTTGAATTTTTCATATCCCATATATTTTTTATTTATCTACAATAGATTATTTTCTAAATACAAACAAAATATTTTGGCTACAAAAATGTGTGGATTTATGATATATGGTTGTCGTCCAAATGTATAACAAAAAAGAAGTGAGATCACGTGATATTACAGAACCAAGGAACAAACGAACCGACCACATCAACAAACGAAATTTTCTAATGGCAATTCTCTCACGGCTTTTGTCACATATTGTGAAAAAGAATTCAGTCGCTCTGTTAACGCAGGGAATTTTAAGCAAAAATTCGAGTGGCAGCAAAGTTCCGTTAGCCGCATATTACGATCCCACTCCACGCAGAACCGTTGTTCGCCGCTTACTTCAGTCGGTTGCAGTGTCAGTAGGGCGACGTGCTGTATATAGATCGATAAGCGAGGGCGGAAAGCGCTTTTATTCTCAACTTCCAGAAAGAATTGTGAAAATGCCCGAAGAAAAGTCTTTCCAGAGACTACCTGAAAATGTAAAACCAAAACACTACCAGCTATCGCTAGTGCCGGATTTAAAATCCTTCACTTTCCAAGGATCGGTGTCTATTCAAATTGAGGTAGGTAGGCCCTAAATTTTACGATTCACCATATGCCTCCATTTCTGTATGGCAAGGTTTAGGAGAGAAATGCATTCCGTATTTCTGCAATAATCCATAAATTACCATTGTAGGTTAGCAATCAAATCTTGATGTTGGTTTTGATGATGAAAATTGTAAACTGTTCATCATTGAATGATTTATAAATCTTATAACCCCAATTTTCTTGTGCATGAAACTACGGCATAATTTTGTTTTATTGAAATGCAGATTATTATAATTTTAATGCGTAATACCTTAATTTGTAGTCAACACTACTATAATAACCAATGATAAACTGGACTTGTATGTGAAGGAAATAGACTGTTTAAAACGTGAGAAGCAGTTGCTGGAAAAATTATTAAATGAGTTCGAGTTTTCAAATAATCTCTTAAAATCCAAATATAATATCGGAGAGAAATCCTCTGACACAAAAACAGTGGGAACTCCCACCGTAAAAACGTCAGTGTTTTCGTACAGCAGTGCTCTGAAAAAAGAAAAAGAAGCAGCTGTTTTGCTAATTAAATCTAATGAAAACAAAGATGATATTGACGTTATTAAATCGATTAAGGACAGCATCAATCCAGCTGAAATAAAGGTATGTGTTAATGGTACACGGAAAACAAAGCAGGGTGCAGCCGTTTATTGCAGAAACAATGACGACCTGCAAAAATTGAAAATTGCGCTGAGGTCTAAATTAGGGGCGAAGTATCACATTAGTGAACCCGTAAAGTATAACCCTCGCATCCTTGTAAAAAACTTTGTGAGTGATGAAGAGCTGGACACGGATGCTAAACTAGTTGATAATATTGTTAAGCAGAATGGCATTGATGTAAATGATGCCAGCATGAAAGTTGTTACTATGCTGAAGATAAGTAGTGCCCATCATCTAATTTTGGAGCTTTCTCCACACGCCAGAAAGCAAATTATTGATAAAGGCTTCATATACGTTGGTTGGAGAAGATACAAGGTTGTTGATCATATCAACATAATTCAGTGCCATAAGTGTTGTGGTTTCGGTCACAGTGCAAAAAATTGTAGGGCTAATTCCGTGATTTGTCTAAAATGTTCAGGTAGTCATGTAGTGAAGGATTGTAAAGGTGATATGGAAAAATGTATAAATTGCCATAAACATAACGAAAAATTTCATACCAAGCATGGTACTACTCACAAAGCAAATGACAAAGAATGTCCAATGTATGCAACATATTTTCAAAATCTTAAAAGTAGAGTAAACTATGGCAGCTAGAGAATGTGTTTTGAAATTTGGCCACCTCAATGTACGATCTCTTATGTCGGACTTTGATGCAGCTGTCAACTTGGTAAATACTGATGACTTGGATATATTTGCAGTGACAGAGACGTGGCTCAACACTGACGTCACTGATAATTCTGTAAGTATCAATGGCTATGATCTCTTTCGTCGTGATAGGGAAGCGCGCGGAGGTGGTGTGGCAATTTACTTTAAGTCTGACTTGCGTGTTGAATTTTTAGACCTAGATGCGCAAGCAAGCAATTGTTTGGAATGCTTGTGGGTAAAGATGACCATCAATAGGCGAATAATTGTTATAGGGGTGATGTATAGGCCGCCAGGGCAAAATATCAATGAATGTGTCAGGTTGTTGGATGCCCTTTTACCTGGGGTTTCGGGTAAGTTTGATAATGTAGTTGTAATGGGTGATCTAAATGTTGATTTTTTGAAACAAAATAACATAATCTCTCCTTGTTTCAATTCAACTGGATTTGTCCAATTGGTTACCTCCCCAACCCGTGTAACGCAGCACGCAGCAACATTACTTGACCCTATATTTACCACCAACCCAGATATTTTTGGTGACTGTGTTGTACTTGATGCAGGTTCGGTATCTGATCATAAACTTGTCATGTGTCAGCTTAGGTTAAATAAATTCAAGAGAAAGCAAAATATTGTAACTTTCAGGGATTTTAAATGTTTTGATGATGCAGCATTCCTTAATGATCTCGCTAATTCCTCCGTCGATGATCTGTTTTTTATCCCAAACATTGACAGTAAAGTTGACCATTTAACAAATACCCTAGTCGAATTATTCAATAAACATGCTCCACTCAGATCTGTACGTGTTTCTAAGCCACCTGCGCCATGGCTGACTGATGAAATAAAAAAAGGTATGCACGCTAAAGTTACTGCGTTAGCAAGATATAAGCAAGATAAGACTGCAATTAATTATGAAAACTATCGTCGCATTAGGAATAAAGTCCTTATTGATATTCGAAAGGCAAAAAAAGAATATCTGGCAGTACTTTCTGAGCAAAATGAATCGAGGAAGATTTGGTCAGGCATAAATAAACTTAATATAAAGTCTTGTAACAAATATACTTTGCCTGATAACATCAGTGATGTTAATCTGATAAACAGGTATTTCATGTCAGTTTATAATGTTGATAGTGTGCCGGAAAATGTGTGCGAGTTTTATAGAAGCAATAAACTAAATCCATCTAATTCTTTTTCTTTGAGAATCTTAAGTCCTCAAGAGATCTTTGATATAGTAAAAGGTCTAAAATCAGACGCTAAAGGCCTTGATACGCTGTCAATTACAATGATCAAAGTTAGTTTACCAATAATATTTTATCATATTGTACACATAGTTAACACTTGCATTGAAAGAGGCTTGTTTCCCAAAGCCTGGAAGAATGCATTGATCTTACCAACGCCAAAAAACAATAAACCTACTGATGTTACTCATCTAAGACCCATAAGTTTGTTGCCTGTGTTGTCAAAAATACTGGAAAAAGCAGTTCAGTTTCAAGTAGAGTCTTTTATTGAATATAATGGCATCATTCCTTTAAATCAATCTGGATTTAGGAAATATCACAGCACAACCTCTGCATTATTAAATCTGTGCGACAACGTTATAAGAGCTATGGACAAAAAAATGGCAGTTTCCCTAGTTTCAATTGACTACTCCAAAGCATTCGACAAAATTAACCATGTGCTTTTACTTTCTAAGTTAAAGTACATTGGATTTGACAATATAGCTATCCAATTCTTCAAAAACTACCTCTCACACCGTATGCAGTGCGTTTCTGTAGGCAGCAGGCTATCAGAAGTCAGTATGATACCATCAGGAATCCCTCAGGGCTCCATACTAGGCCCTGCGTTATTTCTCATATACACTTTTGATTTGCACAAATCTGTCGCACATTCCGATTTACTAAGCTTTGCTGATGACACTCAACTCATTCATTATTTTGACGCCTCTTGTTCGCAGGATGCTGCTGCCTTATTAGAGCAGGATCTGAGCAAAGTGCAAAAATATTCAAGTGACCATAATCTAAACATTAATCCAGATAAGACTCAAATATTACTATTTTGTTCCGACGCAAGGAGAAGTGTCGTGGAGAATACATTTAAAGTTAACCTTGATGGCTCGCTGCTGCAGATTGCTAATTCAGCTACAATTTTAGGTGTTGAAGTAGATAGCAAATTGAGATTTAGGGAGCATGTTATGTCCTTAGCTAAAAAAACGTATGGTCGAATGAGAGCGTTATATGCCAATCGCCACCTTCTGAACTTTAAACTGAGGAAAAAACTTTGTGAGTCTCTTGTGTTGCCAATTCTCAGTTATTGTGATATTTTATATTACCCATGTCTTGATGAACGGATGAAAAGCAGGCTTCAAATAATTCAAAACAATTGCATTCGCTTTATTCATGGATTGAGGAGATTTGACCATGTTAGTGACAAATACAGCCAAATGAAATGGCTAAGAATTGATAAACATGTGCGGTGCAAATACTTAGTGTTTTTGCACAAGTTGATAGCTGCGTCAAGACCTGCATACCTGAGAGAAAAGATCATATTTAATCAAGAAATTCATGACAGGATTACCAGGGACCGTATTATGATCAGGATACCTCCATACTCTATGACACTCTTCAAGCGTTGTTTCTCGTATAATGCTGCCGTATTTTACAATGCTTTGCCCAGAAAGTACAGGGAAATGTCTTTTGCTCGTTTTCGAAAGCAAATCAAGCAATTTATGCTCACTCTTCCCTGATATTTATATAACTGATTTTCTGAGCCGTTTAGGCATACGTGTACATAGTGTATATAGTTGTAGTGTTCTTTAGTTTAGTTGATTAGTTATTTAACCTTTCTGTACTCCTTAGTTTTTCTTATATATTTTTTTTTCTCTTTTTTTTTTTTTGGAATTGCACACAACATCGTGCTTAAAGTACAGACAAAGGTAGTTAAGTGTAAGAGTAGCTCAAGCTAAACTTCGCTATCTTTGTCCCTCACATGTACAAAATATGAATAAAGGCGTTATTATTATTATTATTATTATTATTATTATATAAAAATTTATTTTTTTAGAATAATTTTCAGAGATGTTGTTTGCTTGATTTCATTTCAAAGGTACAACAAATATCAAAATAGAATTGTCACATCCAGATAGCTGCATACTCAGTTTGAGTTCATGGTTTTGTATCAACAAAAAACATCATACAGCTGAAATAGTAAGCTAGGAAACAATGAACATCTCAAAGATCTATGCTTGACCACCATTAATGATGCCTGAAATCGATGAATGAAATATGCTTAATAGGTGTGTAGAATTACTGGGGTAGGAGGTGTATTAATATACCAACATCCAAAAATTAAGATATACCCACCCGTATGTTAACCCCTAATCCCCAAAATGATCAGGATCCTTTGAAACATCAAAACCTTAAGTTTCAGCAATTTTTATTTATTTTTCTAATTTGTTCTGTTTCTCTGCTGCTAGTGGACATATTTACAAAAACTACAAAGCTTCTTCAGCCTTGGCAGTAGTAACATTCTATAAAAAATTCAGTAAAACCATAGACAGTTGTAATATTAGTGGACCTGCAGACAGACCAGCAGAAATGAGTGACTTGGTTTTTTGTGATGTACATTTCAGATAATATCCAAAAACCATAATAGTACACTTTCAATTTTTTTGGGACTACAATACTTCCTT